AAAAAAATATATAAATCAAATATTTTTTAAAGACATATGCTGTAAAAATAATTTGACTACAAGATGTTTGTGGTGCCTGGCTGACAGTTCATACTGTTTTTTAAAAATTTTTATTTATGTATATGAGTATTTTGCCTGCATGTATGTAAGTGCACCCATGTCGTGCAGTGCCCACAGAGGTCAGAAGAGGGTGTTGGTTCCCCTGGAACTGGAGAAATCACTTCCTTGATTCATGTTTTAACCTTTAAGTTCTCTATCAGTTACTTTGAACACATTCCTCCTCCTTTGATTGGGACTGGGCATCTTAAAACAGGGAAGTTACCCAATTTCTTTAAATTCTTGCTTTTTGGCTTTTTGTAATAATCTGTTTAGGAGGTCAGGTGTGGTGGTACATACCTTTCATCCCAGCACTCAGAAGACAGAGTCAGTCAGATCTCTGTGAGTTCCAGGCCAGCCTGGTCTGCGTATTAAGAACCCTGTGTATAGGGGAGCTGGAGAGATGGCTCAGCAGCCTTAAGCACATACTGCTCTTGCGGAGGACCCAGGTCCAATTCCCAGCACCCACATGGCGGCTAACAACTGTCTGTAACTCCAGTTCCAGGGGATCCGATGCTGTCTTCTGGCCTCTTTGTGCACTGCACACAAATGGTGCACTTAACATACATGCAGGCAAAACACTTTTACACATAATTTAAAAAACTCTGTTCAGGTGTGTTCCTTTTTCCTCTCTTGTCATCCATGACCTCAGTCACTGCCTAACCTAAATGGTCAGCGGGTGGATTGCTGTGGCGGTGGACATAGTTGTGTTAGATCAAGTCCTGCCCTGTACAACTGTGGTTAGTTTAATTTGAGTGTAAGATTTCACCAGTCATTAGGGCTAAACTGCAGGTGTTCCATGGGTTGTGGTGGGAGCTGCTTTTTGATCACACCTCTGTTCTGTTCCCCTTTGCTGCATGCAAAGTGATGTCCTAGAAAACGCAGTCTGTGGTAATTTTCTATTAAATCATCATCACAATTGGTAAAGTGGAATGTGTACATACCTGTGGAGCAGATGGTAGAGCATCTGATAAACCTTGTGATAGTGCACTGGAAACAATCAAAACAGCCTTCAGCAACCTAACTGAATCGAACAGTGCGTGTTCACCTTCCTCTAATAAAAAGGAAACATTTACCATAGCCGCTCTTTAGTCCTAAATCCTTTAACATGTCTGAGAATTGTAGAGAGTTTGGGCATTGGTTGAAGTAGAGGAGAAATGTAGGCATTTCCAAAAATAATACGTTAAAATCTTTAAACCTTGAAGAGTTTGAACTTGCATGTCCTGGAAATACTTGGTAGATGGTTGGGTCATTCAACAGTGCCCCCTTCTGGTAAGAGCACCTGTCCTCAGAGTGCAGAGGAAAAAGTAATGGAGTCTCTTTTGGCCTGAATTCTGAAACTAAGTTAATTGAAATGCTTTATATTGCATCTTTAAAGATTTTCTTTTGCATTAAGGAGATATTGCCATAGTTTTCAGCCTGATTTGTCCTGGGGAATATCCGACTTCCCCTTTGGAGCTTCGTGTTTAATATTGTCACCAAAGGCAATCCTGAAAAATGACCCAGTGCATAGTTCTGTTTTCTTCAGTTCCTTCTTTGCAGGCGCCAGCAGAGGAAGTGGCAAGATGTACGCAGTATCAGGTGGGGACTGAGAGCCGCCTCTCAGCAGTAACCTAGTCTGAAAGACCAGGGGAAGAAGGTCACTCCCTGCTTGTACTGTGCAGTGACAGTTGTCAAATAAGGGAAAGGGACGACTTCTGTGAACTTGAATTCAGAATATTCAGACAAGTTTTACAAGCACGTTTTTAGTGACAGTGGAAAAGCTGTTAAATTGTATTGCATTATGGAAACATTTGGATTTTTATTTTGCATATATAAAATTGTGTTGTTATACTGAATACATTTGTATGTCTAAACCTTGGGGCCTTCATCTGCTGTCAAGTTGAGAATTCTTAGTGTAAAGAAACTTAAGTCTGTATTTCTGTAGACCAAACAAAAAGTTTTTAAAATCTTTAACAACTCATGTGTCACAGAAAAGAATCTTAAGGTAAATCACTGCTCCAAGGAAAATCTCTGTGGTTTATTTGAAAAGATGGAATTCATGGAGATAATTTTAGTCTAGAAATATGTGACAAGAGTCAGATGTTAACAACATCTGTGAGTTAGATTTCTATCATGTCCAATTAGCTGAACTTCCAACTTCAACACAGCCTAGAAACACCCAAAAAAAAAAGACTCTCGGCCGAGAAATTGTCTTTATCAGGTTGGTCTGCGGACTTGTCTATGAGGGATGGTCTTGATTTTGTCACTGATGTAGGAGGACTCAGCCTACTGGGGGTGGAACCATTTCCTGGTGCTCCTGGTCTATATTAGAAAGTTAACTGAGCTTGAGCTGGTGAGCAAGCCAGTGAGCAATGGTTCCTCCATGATTCCTGCCTTTAGGTTCAAGCCTTGAGTTTCTGCCCTGACTTCCTTCAGTGATAGATTGTGACCTGGAATGTAAGCCAAACAAACCCTTCTGTCCCCTGAGCTGTTTTGGTCAAGTGTTTCATGCCAGCAGCAGAAAGGAAATGTGGACACATTAGTACAGCAAATACCAAGACAGGCAGCTTGTAAAGAGGGAGGGTACATACCTCCCAGCTTGGAGATTCCAGTCCGTGGTCAGTGTCCCTTGCTTTGAGCCAGTGTTGAAACGGCACGTTACCATGAAACACACGGCAGAGGAAAACGGTGTGCACTTGGCCAGGAAGCACACCAGAAGGGAAGGAGCCAGGGTCCCACATCCTCTTCACGGATCTCCCACTAGCCCCTGCCTCATAAAAGTTCGACAGACCTTTCAGCACCACCCTGGGAACCAGTTCTCTAACACAAGATTCAAACTGTGGTGTTTTCTGAATCAGAACTATAGTTTCCTTTTGTTTTCACAAGCCTCACACCTTGGGGCGAGTCACTGAAACACCTTTTGGCTAGTTTGGTTCTTGTGGAGTTAGATGCCCTGTATCCCCTCCACCCCATCCGATTCACGCAACTTGCACTTGACCGACTGTTGCCTTCGTGCCCTTGTGGTGTAGGTGACTGTGTTTTGCCCCTTTCCAGATACATTTCCTTGTTATCTTTTTGGACAGGGACTAATGCAGGAGATTAATGATTTGAGGTTAAAAGTCGGTGAAATGGACAGTGAAAGACTCCAGTACGAAAAAAAGCTTAAATCAACCAAAGTAAGTTTCTCATTGGTAAAAATAATTTTAAACAAGTGGGTCCACTGTTTTTCTGTGAGGAATAATATAGAAAACATTTTCTACCTAGTATATGGAAATGGTGGTATCTTACAAGTAAATGAATTTTTCCCCACACTGGAAACCTTGACCACCTTATATGTACTGTTCTGAATTACATCCAGGGCTTGACTAATCTGCTAGGATGTAGCCTGCCATTCCTGAGTTAGCTAACCTCCTCCATAACCCGATGCTGTTTTCTTGGTTATTTAGCCTGCCTCTTTCTGCCTGGTTTTCTCTCATTCCTCTGTCTCTCTACCAGTCTTTAATGGCCAAACTTTCTAGCATGAAAATCAAGGTGGGTCAGATGCAGTACGCAAAGCAGCGGATGGAGCAGAAATGGGAGTCACTGAAGGTGTGGTAGACTGTGGTGGGCTCCGTGGGCTGTTGCCGTCTGTGTCGTTTTGCTGTGAAGGTGTTTTTAGTGGCATGTGCATCCATTGTCTGTGCGTGTATGTCACCTTCTTATTAAAAATACATATACCTGGGCCGGGCATGGTGGTGTAGGCCTGTAATCCCAGCACTTGGGAGGCAGAGGCAGGTGAATCTTTGTGAGTTCAAGCCAGCCTGGTCTACATAGTGAGTTCCAGGACAGCTGGGGCTACAGGGAGACCCTGTCTCAAAAAAATAAATAACTCAATACATATACCTGATAAAAGGAACAGTGATATTTCTAATACTGTAAATAATAGTGAGTGAACTGTAAGAAGCTATTAATCAGCCTATAAATTGACTGTCTCTCTTAGACTGAGTCCTGAACATTGTAAAATAATTGTAAAAGTTCATCTGTAAAAGAATTCTACGTCACATTGACAGTTGAACCTGCCCTCCTTAGGGCTTTCTGGAAGGTCAGTGTGGACAGGAGTTTGCCGTAGCACGGGAGGGAGTGGCGGTCACTACTTGGAAGCTCTGCAGTTAAGAAGGGGCCTGCACGTCATGCCACTACTGCCGGAAATGGATGAGCGTTGACTTCAGTCTTACTGCAAGTCAGACGTGCAGAGCCAGCCCCACTTCCTGGGTGGACCCCATCTTCCCGTGGCACTGCATGCAACAAATATCTGAATAAAGATCCTGGTAAATGCAACATTGAGTGAAGGGCAGGCGTGCTGGCCTGACCTGGCTCGGTTTTCTGTGTTACGTATGGCCTGCAAAAATACAAATTTGCTAAGGCTAGTTCTTTACTAAAATGAACTGAAATTTAAAGTGTTAACAGATCCATCCATGGTCTTGGAAGCTTTTGCAGATACAGTTTTGTAAAAAGGGACTTAAACCCTTGTTTTCTAGAAGCCCACTTTCCCATTGCTCAGTTCTGGCTTACTGGGGGGTGGGGGAATCGTCCAGTGCACGGTTTGGCCCCAGTTACCCCGTGACCTGCTGCCACTGCAGCTCAGCGCTTGCCTCGGAAGCAGGAGCATCACCTTGAAGTGCTGAGCAAAGGACAGCAAGACTAAGAATTTGTGTCTTATTTTGCCTTTATCACAAGTATCTAATTTTGGTTATCTCAATTACCGTATGTAGACATTTTAATTTAACATAAAGCCCAAACCTCGTGGCTCTCCTAGCCTTGACTGTACTTTAAACAGACCCCTTTTAAATTACTCACAGACCTGAAACAGTTGCATCATGACTGTTAGAAACTGAGCTTATCACTGCCTCTGTCTAACTTCTGATGTTTGTGTGTAAGATTTCCTTCTCACAATCTGCGTATTGATTGAGAGGGCTAATGTGCTCTCTAAACAGTCCTTTTCTGCCATGATCTACGTTTAAACGAGTTCATGATTTACAGGATGAGTTGGTGTCTTTAAAAGAGCAGCTGGAAGAGAAAGAATGTGAAGTAAAAAGGCTGCAGGAAAGGCTGACCTGCAAGGTGCGAGGAGATGGGGGCCAAGTTCTGGACCGAGGTGAGACTGTCGGGCCTGGCTGTTTGATTTGTCACAGTCCTGTGAAATAGGGCGTGGGGCTGGCGCAGCCGAGCCGCCCAGACCCAGGGCAACAGAAGGTTCTTTCAGACTCCGCTATGATGGGGATCTGTGTGCTTCATACAGCTAGACCAAGGCTGTCCTGGGTTGTATTGTCCGTTCATTTTTAATAACTTGGGCTGGGGATGTAGATCAGTTGTAAAGCCCTGCCTAGCACACACAGACCCCAGGGTTCAAGCCTCCATGTAAACCGTGTGTGGTGGGCATGCCTGAAATCCCAGCACTGGAAGGTGGAAGCTGGGGATCAGGAGTTCAGGGTCATCCTTGGCTACACTGGGAGTTTCAGGCCACCATGGGATGCAGGAGACTCTGGCTGAAAGAAACAAACATTTTGGATGACTGAATTGTAAATGCTTATTATGAGAATGCCAAAGAATTAGAAGGGAGTTAGGAGTGTAGGGCAGTGTGCACTGCTTGCCCAGTGTGTGTGAGGCTGTGGGTTGGGTCCCCAGAAGCGGTAGGTAGGTAGGTAGGTAGGTAGGTAGGTGGGTAGGTGATAGATGACAGACAGACAGACAGACAGACAGACAGACAGATAGATAGATAGATTATAGAGAGATGATAGTAGAGAGATGATAGATCATAGAGATGTAGGTGACAAACGACACATAGATAATAGGTAAGTAGGCAATAGATGATGGATGATGATGGCTAGAGAACGAATCATTGCTGTGTCTCAGTTGTTCCTTCTGAACTGAGCTTCAGACAGGATGAGCCCAACCTGGTAGCTCTTGCCTGTGATTTGAGCCCCAAGACTGAGGCAGGAGTGCTGCCCAAACTTTGAGGTCAGCCTGGGCTATAGAGTGAGACCATGCTTGAAAAAAAAGAAAAGATGATGTGAGGGATTTAGACGCCTTCCTCACCTTTTTAGGGGAAAAGAGGAGTGACTCTGTATCTTTGGGAAAATCAGTGGTGTTTTTTCCCATGGAATGAGCCCTCATTTTAAAAAAGCATAAGTAGGCCAGGTGTGGGGTGGTGGCACACGCCTTTAGTCCCAGCACTAGGGAGGCAGAGGGAGGCAGATCTCTGTGAGTTTAAGGCCAGCCTGGTCTACATAGTGAGTCCCAGGCCAGCTGGGGTGACAGGGAGACCCTGTCTCAAAAAGACAAAAAAAAAAAAAAAAAAAAAGTAGTTGATTGAATTTTAGCAAAAGGCATGAATTTATCCAAAGTGTGTGATCCTGAGGGAAGTTTGTTCCAAATGTTGCAAAAGTTCCTAATAGTGTATGGATCATATGCAACAGGAAGATGACTTAAATAGAATGTGCTTTAAAAGACTACATTTGGAGACAAAGATGTGGCTTAGCAGATTCTTAGCACCTACTTGGTAGCTAAGAACCATCCATAACTCCAGTTCCAAGGGAATCTGATGCCCTCTTCTGACTTCCTCAGGTACTGCATGACATAGGTGCACTTACATGCTTGCAAGCAATACACTCATGTATAAAATAAAAACAATCATTTAAAAAAATCTTACAGAGTTTATACCGAGTTCAATATTGTATAACTGTATTAATTCAACTGTGAACCTAGAAACTTGCACCCACTTGTGAAAGAGATGTACTCTTGCTCTGGAGTGTGTTACTGAATATGTTAAATATTCTAATCATGTAGTTATTAAAAATTTAAAAAAATAATGATTAAAAAAGTTACGGGGCTGGAGAGATGGCTCAGCAGTTAAGAGCACTGACTGCTCTTGCAGAGGACCTGGGTTCGATTCCCAGCACCCACATGGCGACTACAAACCATCCTTAACTCCAGTTCCAGGGGAATCTGAAGCCCTCTTCTGACCTCCGTGGCATTGCATTGCACAAGTGCACTCACATATATGCAGGCAATACACTCATACACATAAAATAAAAATAATAATAAATATATTTTTTTAAAGTTATATTTGGGTTAGACAGTGGCACACAGCTGTAGCTGCAGCACCTAGAGGTTAATGCAGAGGGATCATGGGACAGCATAGGGAGACACTGATGGAAAAAAGCATGGGGGGCTGGGTCTGGAAATACATGGGGTATCTGACAACACTAGGCCAAACCCAACCTCCCTTTCCTCATGGCGACCATGATGCTAGATACCGAAGTGGTTTCTAGCTCAGTGGGACAGAACAGATGGCGCTTGGTGCAGCCCCGTCACATTGACATGTGTAACAGGAGAGACAAGGCGCATTGTCTCCTTATCTACCAGGAAACTCAGTTATCAAGCCTGGGAGAAATGGGTTTGGCACAAGTAGAGGCACCACTTTTAGGGCTTTTGTTTTTGTTTGTTTGCTTAGTTTTTTGGAGGAGTGTGTTGGAGATTGATCGCAAGCCCTTGCACATGCCCTCATGTGTGGTACCACTGAGCCACGCCACTGGTCTGACTTACAGGGTTTTAAGAATAAAACGGCCTCAAAAGAGTGTATGGGTTGGAGGATGAATTTGGGAAGTGCTACTCACGCTGACTGAGCCTAGAACAAGTCTGAACTGCTCACTGTCACCACATGACCAGCTTAGCACGGGTCTGTGTACAAGGGCTTAGAAACTCCTGGCAACCTGACACTGACGCTGACTGTCTGTCAGTGGGCTTCTCCTTAGACAGGAGACAGATCCTTTCAGTGATGTTGAACTTGAGGGATCAGTTGGACATCAGTGACAGAGAGGGGAGGGGCGCCAAAGCAGTGTTAACCAGTCTTGACTGCCAGCCCGTGTAGGTCTGATTTTAAAACATGGAAGCACCGAGGTTCAGAAAGATGAAGGCTCAGAAGCATAACTCAGGTTTAGCTCTTCTGGTTAATGTGTGGTATTCAGTCCTTCAGGACCTTGGTGACTCACCACCAGTCCTACAATCATAGGTCCTTGGTGACTGACCACCAGTCCTACAGTCACAGGTCCCTGGTGACTGACCATCAGTCCTACAGTCATGTAAATAGTACTCCACATTCTAGGTTTCTTTTGAGGCTAGAGTCCCAGCACTTAGGTAAAAGGAAACCAAGAACTGATAACTTTTAAAGTAGTTTTTGTTGTTGTGATGTGTGCTAACTTCCAATCCGATGGGTTTTCCTGTGCAGATGAAAATTTTAAAAAGAAGCTCAAAGAGAAAAGTAAGGTTTGGAGTGCTCCGCCGGCCTTCACGTGCACCGAGGGCTGCTTTGCTCTTTGCATGTCTTAAAACGTTTCCCTCACCAGAGATGTCCAACTGCTTCATCAGTAAGCCCTCCATTTCTTCACCGTGGGCAAAGTAGAGGCTAGATAGATGGACAGCAAACAGAGAGGAAGAGATACATTACAGGCTTTCCTGCGGCCCACTCCCCCCCAGAATGCAGCAGGGCACACAGACGATTGCGCTCAGAAAGTGTGTTCTCTGTGGACTGGGAGATTCGGAGGTAAAAAGGAACCTTACAGCTGAGCTGTATTCCCAGAAATGACCCCCGTGGACAGGTCATTTTGAACTCACCATCTCTGCTTGAAGCCTAGGATCTACATTAGAAGCTATGTGAAATAGTCATATATTCTCTTGGCATTATGGAGCCTGGATTATTCAATACCACACAAACATAAATCTTTAGTTGACCTTAGAAGTGAATTATTAAGTTAAGAGAATTTGCCTTCAAAAAAAGAACCGGCAAATCCTCGTCCAAAATGCTCCATCGGTGTTAGTTTTTAAATTCTTCCCTCGGAGGCAAGTAATTTTAGCTGAATTGTTTCCGTTTCCATCTTTTAGTTGTGGTTTCACTTTGGGATTGAACGTTCATTTTTGAAGTACTTTCATTTTTCATTTTTCAGATAACATGGCTTTGTGTTTGGTTATCAGGTTTTAAGAAAAGCCCCACTCAGCACACTTTAGCAGTCACGTTCTGTTTCCATTTGAAAACAGTGTTAGAAATGGAGTTTATAGATGAAGCAGGGCGCTTCCCGTCTGTGGCCCCGCAGCGGCTTCTTAGCATGACCGCTCACATGAACGTCACGCCGCCCAGGCTCTTCCACTGCCTCCAGCTCGGTCCCGAGTACTGTCCTCTGCTTGGTCGTTGTGAGTGCCGTCCGCGGCCTCCACCCACCGCCCAGAGCTTCCCTTGTGAAACCCCGGCCTCCACTGCTGCCCCCAAGTTCCATCTTCAGGGCTTGGAGGGAGATTCTGTCCTTTAAGGGAGGGCGGCGAGCTCTCCCGCAGCCGTTTGCTTGCTTTCTGGAGCGGCGAGGTAGGAAGCGTTCATCTTTGAGTGTCCCTAAAAGAGAATATGGGCGTCACTGTGCCCCTTTGAAGACAGACCATCGGCACCCTTCGCTTGAAGGCCTTCGAAGAGAAGAGCCAGTAGCTTCTAACACGGGCGAACGAAGCAGCTTCTAACTGGAAGGTCTGTTGTTTTCAGATGTCGAGGTCCAAAAGATGAAGAAGGCCGTGGAGTCTCTGATGCTGGCAAACGAAGAAAAGGTGCGTGCGCGCCTCGGCTGTTCGCACTCCCGTAGTTTCTCAAGCGAGCTGGACAGAGCGTGCTCAGAACTCCAGGGACACTGAGGACAGACCTCTGTCCCTGTCCCTGTCCCTGTCCCTGTCCCTGCCCGAGTGTGTGGTCTTGCTGATGGCAGCCGTGGCTGTGTGTAGGGATAGGGAGCCGCTGGACCGGCTCTGGTGTCTGTACTTGTGTCGCTAGCTCTTGGCCTCGCTTGGTTTTCCTAACCCGGGTCTGGGTTTCATCCCGCTAGAAGCAGAGATGCTGCGTATCCTACGGTGTCCTCCTCAGTGCCTTCCCAGCCTGCTCTAGCAGTCAGTGACATTAGGTTCAGCTCATGACGTCAAGACTGCTCACCCTGCGGCCCTCAGTGGATGAGGGGCATTTCCCCAGAAAAGACCAGTTTCAAGCGCGTATGAAGCTTATCAGTGAGCACGTCAGTCTTCTCATCACGACTCTCCTGTTCGTGCCTGCTCTGGTTTTTTTTTCTCCAAACCTTTATTGTTACCTCTTATTGTGTGTGTGTGTCTGTGTGTGGTGTATGAATGTAGTAGACTCATGTGTGTGTGGTATGTGTATGTGTTCTCGCATGTGTGATGTATGGGTCTGTACTCCTGTGTATATGAGTGTTAGGTATGTATACTTGTGTGTGATGCATGTATACTTGTGTGTGATCCATGCGTGTATGTGTTGTGCTCCTGTGTACATGTGTATGATACATACATGTGTGACATGCCTTCATACTCATGCATGTGTGCATGTGCTAATGTATGTGATGTCTGTATGCATAGTCATGCATGTATGATCCATGTAGTGTGATGTATGCATGTGTGCTCGTGCTTGCAGTGTACACATGTACTTATGTGTGTGGCATATGCATCTGTGCTTGGGTGTGAGGTATGCATGTGTATGTGTGCATGTGAAGGCCAAATCAAGGTCAGGTTGATGTCAGGGCATGCGCCACTATGCTTCCAACTTTTCTTATTTTGATTTTTGCATTTTGTTTATTTTGTATGCATGTGTATGCTTGTGTGTGTGTGGTGTGTATGCGTGTGTGTATGTATGTGTGTGTTTGTGTGTGTATGCGTGTGTGTGTGTTTGTGTGTGTTTGTATGTGTGTGTGGTGTGTCTGTGTGTGTGTTTGTGTGTGTGTGCGTTTGTGTGTGTGTGTAGGCATGCATACCATTGTTGCCAGATAGAAGCGAGAACAACGTACAGGAGTCATTTCTCCCTCCCATGATGTGAGTCCCAGATTCACACTCCAAACTCAGGTTTCCAGACTTGGCGGCATGTGCCGTTACCACTGATTCATCTCACAGGGTCTCACAGCCTGGAGCTGGCTGATTCAGACTGCCAGTGGGCTCTGGGGACCCAGCTGTATCTACCTCCCTTCTGCTCCCTGCATGCCACTGAGGTCAATCCTGGGGTCCTAGTGTCAGGGGAAGGTTTACTAGATGTGCACAGTTGTGTATGCGTGTGTGTGTGTGTGGTGTGTCTGTGTGTGTGTGCGTTTGTGTGTGTTTGTGTGTGTGGTGTGTCTGTGTGTGTGTGTGTGTGTGTGCGTGTGTGTGTGTTTGTGTGTGTGTGCGTGTGTGTGTTTGTGTGTGTGTGGTGTGTATGCGTGTGTGTATGTATGTGTGTGTTTGTGTGTGTATGCATGTGTGTGTGTGTTTGTGTGTGTGTATGCGTGTGTGTGTGTTTGTGTGTGTTTGTATGTGTGTGTGGTGTGTCTGTGTGTGTGTTTGTGTATGTGTGCGTTTGTGTGTGTGTGTAGGCATGCATACCATTGTTACCAGATAGAAGCGAGAACAACGTACAGGAGTCATTTCTCCCTTCCATGATGTGAGTCCCAGATTCACACTCCAAACTCAGGTTTCCAGACTTGGCGGCATGTGCCGTTACCACTGATTCATCTCACAGGGTCTCACAGCCTGGAGCTGGCTGATTCAGACTGCCAGTGGGCTCTGGGGACCCAGCTGTATCTACC